AGAGAATATTTGTCACGGTTAAATTAGAGGAGGCTTCTTTTTAAAGTGCCAAAACAATTTTAAATAAGTGCAAAATGAAGCCTGAAGCTACCTATGGATCCAATTACCGTACGGAGAGCTTAGAGTTTGATAGTGCTACTATTTTAAGGGTGGGTTCTGGAGAAATAAACTCAATTCCAAAGTTTAGAGTGTTTTCTGTTATTAAAAAACAAAAAAAAAAACAAATACAAAATGCAAAAAGGGAGAAGATAAAAGACGGTATTAAAAAGGTATAGAAACATAATTGTTTTTTTTCCAGAAATTTCATCCCAGTTTTGGATTTCAAAACAGTCTTTGCCTGCTATCTGTAACAAGTCGACGTGGACGATGCATCACCAAGTAGTGAGGAATAAGTGAGAAACCAACAGAACTGCCCCAAAAGAACATGAATAGACAAGCAGAGCCAGAGAATCTTAAGGATTCAACAATGATAAAAGAAACTAGAGAGCAGGTATAATTGGTGACTACAGCTAAGAAGGGAGACAGACTCATGAGATGAGAAGAGATGACTGATAATAGAAGAAACACCAAAGAAACTTTCAAAATTCTTTCAAAGTTTATCCTTCTGGCAAACATTTGAATACCATTTATTCTGACACTAGACGCACAAGTATTTACTACTTATGGGGAATAAACATGTGACTTGCAATGTAGGAGAAATCAGATTTGACAACACTGACGTCATCACTGAACCTTCCACAATAAGTTCACGCTTCCCATTCCCTCATGGATTCTGAGACAGCTTTATTTCTGTTTGCACAATTCCCATTGAGATCCAGCCCAGCCACTAACCTGATCTCTGTACCTCAGAGGTTCCTGTTCAGTTTATTTTTTAATTTGTTAAACTGTAGATTTTGTCATGTTAGTTACATACCTTGTTACATTTATATATTGATCTACTGTATGGCAGGGGTAACCAATTAAATATCAGCAGGGTTCGAATAAAGAAAATCATTAACCAGTAAAGGTCCAGAGACATTTTTTATCATAATCTGTTACTTTAAACAGAATTTAACACTGAAATGAAATGAGGTGTTTATGCATCCATGTTATACTTTGCCTTTTTAAATAAGAATATATATATATATAAAAAAAAGATTTTAAAAAAATTTTAAGTGTTTTTTTAAGTAGAGAACAACAATCATTCAGTTTGGTATGTAGACAATATTACGATTCACATATTTTATAAAACACCTGAACTGACCATTTGTTTTTGTTTTTTCTTTCTTTTTAGAAAGCCAGAATAAGGCTGCAGTTTCACTTCCACAGAGCCACACTGAACATGGAGGATTTTATTCAGTTGTGTGGTTTTAACAAAATTTTATGTACTGTGTCAGATGATGGAGAACAACATTTTAACAATCTCCTCATTAATGATTTTAACTGATTCTTGTTTTTACCTTAATGGGGTTTTTTAACTGACACTTATTTTACATCAATTGTTTAAATGTTTGAATTGTGTTAACAAAGTGTTGTTAAAAGTAAAAAAAAGTCTTTATTTTTAGATACGATAGCTTAATAGCACTTCTCTCATTGATAGCTTATTAAGAGCAGTGGGCTTTATGCTGCCCTGCAAGGCTCTAAACCTGGGTTTGAATGGAGACAAAGCCATTCTCAAGCACATATCAAGGTGCTCATTTTGAGCCTGGATCCATATTTATTTTTAATTCTGTTCATGGTGGAGAATCCTGCTTCACAGCAGCAGGTTGAGCCAAACATGCTCAAAATGTGCAGGGTCATCTTTGAGCGCCATTTCACGTTTCGTTCAGTAGTTCACCGCAGTTCTTCCAGCATTCCACACTTTCTTTCACTTTTTTTCATCTTCTCGTTCTTTCCCGTCGCCCGGCTTGCCACAGGTTTGCCTGCTGTGTCTAAAAGTAGCAGAAGCAGTGACCCAGACTGACAGCAGCTCATTGGCTAATTTGTATCACGTGTAGCCTGGTGCCGGAGGCTCTGGAGGGCTTTACCGTACAAAGAGGAGAAGTGGCGCAAGTGAAATTAGACACTGCCGTCGGATGGTATGCAGTAATTTATAAATGTTTTAAATCAGGTTGGGTTCGGATTAGCTAGCAGGTGGGTCCAGATCCGAACCGCATTCCGCTAATCTGTGACCTCTGATCTATGCAGTAACTCTGGAAATTGGGGAGAGGAGTTTAACAGTGAGGAAAAATTGAAATATTGTGCACACTTTATTAAAGAATATAAGCTGGCTTATGGTCATGTTTTTTCTATGTGACAGTTTCTCATGGTTCAGCAATTTATCACACAGCTGTTTCAGCTCCAACAAAATTGATCTGCAACTTAAGTTTTGAAATAAGTGGAATTAAAAGTCTGAGAGGAATTTTGGTTCAGTCTGGCTTCAATTCACCATCTTTGTTGCCAATTTCCCCTTAGTATATCTTCTATGCATTGGTCAGAGGTGGCATGAGGGATTGCACATTTTTGTGGCCAGCTTGTTTTCATAGCTCAGATAATTTGTATAGGAGGTGATATAGAGAAGCTGCAAAAACAAGCTTGATACATTAGACCTCAGGACCAAGTTCCCTGTCTCTGTTCTCCCAACTCAAAGTAATGGTCAAGAGGCTGTTGCTTACAAACTAAAAAAATGTTGTGATTGCCTGAACCTTGGCGGGTAAACGCTGTCAGAGTCGTCTCTCTGCTATTGATCTGCAGCCTCAGAGCATCACTTCTCCAAGCAGTGGACTCATTACAAGCTCACATGTAAACCTTTGCCTCTAACTCTTCTTGTCACTTCAACAGACATTTGCTTTTCTTATTTCTTTTTTCACTCCTGACCCTTCAGATCACTGCAGTCTGACATCCAAAAGCTTGACTTATTTTCCTTTTTGAGCATCACAGCTGTTAGTTTTGGGGGGGTTTAACTTTTTTGTTTCAGTTACTCATCTTTTTCTCCCCCTGCATACTCTGGAAAAAATTTCCAGACTGCAAATGAAATATAGATAAGTAATTTTTCCTTAAAGTAGGTGCATTTGTTGTTGAATTGGGGAGGTAAGTGAGACTCTTTTCCAATGGAACAGACAATTTTATTTTAAAATACGAAAAAAAAAATATTGTATAGTCTTATTTCAAGTGCGTATTATGTAATTATTTTATTATAAGAGTAAACATACTCATTCCATTGGCAAATCATCTTATTTACATACTCAAATTGAGTGTAACAGTCTTGGTTTTGTTATGTTTTCTTTTGAGTATTCAGTTTTACTTTGCTCCATGTTTTCTAGTTTTATTTGTTTAATTCTTATTTTGTTGTGTTTTCTGGTAATATTTAACTTCTTAGGTTTTTATTTGTTGCCCTCTGTTGCACTCTTGTGTTAGTCTCCTTTTCCTTAGCTCCTTTTAGACTCCTCTCTTCACACCTGCTCCCAATCAGCTCGTTAGTCCACTCTTTGTTCAGTCTCCCATTAATACTCTTGTTGCGCGCTTCCTCAGTGCTGGTTCCTCGTCTAATTCTGTCATACCTCGTCTTACTTCTTGATTGTTTTCCCCTGATGTCTTCATGGTTCTGGTTTGTTTTACTTTTTTCGTGTTGGATTTTGGGATTTTTGGATTCCTGCCTCAGCTGTTTGTGAACCTCTCATTAAATCTACAACTAACTCACCTCTGCCTCCCTGCCTCTGCATTTGGTTCCTCAAACCTCAACCAAATCCTGACATTGAGGGTAAAGACACGTAATTTGTGAAATTTTCACTTATTTCTAGATTGTTTTTTTGCAGTGCAGAGTATGCAGAGTTTCCCAATATATACGATCCTGAGACCTTCATGCAGCTGCTGTACTGCCTATTCCTAATACTCTAGCTCACTCTAAGGGGGGCTTTGCGGCACAGACTGCAAGCCCACCTCACAACATTCAGAGGTAGAAAACCATTCTTCCAACTCTTTCAAACCCTCTTTGTGTCATCCAAGAGGGACATGAATTAGTTTCTTATTTAACTAAATTGTCTCTGTTAAGTGCCCTCAGATGGCACTTGTTTTAAACTGGTGAAATTAATTGCATTAGTTAATGGCTGCTCCTTGATACAAGTTAAGGTAACCTCCCTTTGTACTATATTTCTTCCAGCAGAAAATTTTCCTAATATAAGTGGGACAAACAGTGCCTTGTGGGATCTGAGTTACCAAGTCTACCCCAGTCTCTGACCTAGAGTAGCATAAACCAAGTTCATATCTGGTGGATGGCATCCCACAATATGCTGGTGCTGGCATTGCCACCAGTGCCAAGCGCTCCCTCTCCTGTGTTATGCTGCTCAAACATTGTCAAACAGGATGCTTTTAATGTGATAACAGACACATAAAATACAAACAATATACAAAAACTGATCTGGACAATATATACACTGAACTGCGGAGAAAAATAAAAAAAATTGCTTCCAAACTTTTAACGATGAATGTGTTTGTGTCATTATGCCCGAGCTGCCAAGGCCTGTTGTAGTCTGAATTTTTATTTTTGTTTTTAATTAAATCTTATTTAATAATTTACAAAAATAAAACAGGAAAAAAAAACTTGAATTTCTCTGCAGTGAGACCATAAAGCATATTTCTAGTCCAGAGTTTACAGATTTGCCTTTTCTTTGCCATGACCTGTCAAGGGTAAGATTTTTGGTCTCTAAACATCAGTTTTAATTTAGTCTTTATGCTCGCTGGCAATAGTTTCATTTCAACACTTAAGTGGATAAAACAACACATCAGCACCATCGTCACACTGTGTTATTGATGAAAAGTGGTTTGCTCTCTGCAGCAATGCAGATTTAAAATTCCATGATTTAAGGCTTTTATTGATCGCCAGGAACAGCAGCGAAAAAAATGAAAGGTAGTGTAGCATTTCTTTATCCAAATGCCGATATAAGGAATGAATAAAATAAAAGTTGTAATCATAGGAATATCAGAAGTCTAAGTTCAGCTCTCGGAGAATGTTGAAGATGTGCTCAATGAGACGCCACACAGAATTCAGGTGCAAAAATTGGTGTAATATATGAAAAAGGAAAATATTTACAATATTTACAGTTGCACACAAAAAGTACAAACAAGCCAGTTCAAACTGTGTTAAACTGTGGTCTGCAATTTCCACTTCATATAGTCCCACAAAACTGTATTATTGTAACAAAAAAAAAAGAAAGTTGATTGTGAACCAAGAATTGAATGATATTGAAAGGTAAGTAAATGGCTGTATGTGGGTTAAGAAAAACAAGCTGCAGTGCCTCCTACCACACTGATGGGAGTTGCAGTCGCTTCCTTCCAGGCTGAGGCACGAAGCCTGTCTCTAGCTCGCCACCCAATATATGGGAACAAAGGAACTTGGCCTGTATAAACATGACCAATAATTAGCACAATGATTAAAAAATGCTTAGTTCCTAATTAATATCAAACATTTATATAGTCATCTACATGTACATGATTTATCTTAAAATAAAAATATACAAAACAATTATTCGAGTACTCTTAATTCTTTACCATATTAAATGGTTTCGTACATAAGTAAACTTTACAAATGCATTTCAATATGCCTATATATGTAAAGGTTTTCAACCAATAACCGTAAAATAAGGTTATTGTTAAATAATTTAAACCCAGTTGGTCAAATGAAAACAAAAACAGGCTAATGCAACATTACAACTGTGAAAGCTAGGCAATATAGTTGTTAGCCATGATTCTAGAAACAATGGAAAACAATATAAAAGTGCAGCTAGCACCCATGCTAAGCTAGCACTATCAACACAGGGTGTTTAGCATTAGCATGCCACAACAAACAATTTAACACTCACCAGTTCCGGTTTTAGAGAGTCTCACAGGGCTCAAAAATACATCAACCCTCAGTTGGTAGAAGTTTCTAAAAGTTGCAAGGCATACCAGTGAGTGTTATAGCAGTTAAGATAGAAAAATATGACTTTAAGTCGGCTAATTGCCTACCTGCAGCAGCTCCATACAGACACCAGCCCATGCTACATACAACAGTGAGCGGCCATACTTGTTGAAATCTCACCGGAAGTCTCGTGGGAAAATCTCGTGGCAAATCTCGCAAGATTACAGACTTAGTGCCCGACGGAGTAAGTTTAGAAACGGGAAATAAAGGATAAGCCTTAAAACAGCTTGGTTACACCCTCCCCCCTTAGTTCATGCACGTCCCGTTGCATGGAAACTACAAGTCTTACAACTAGAATTTTCTGCTGCAGGTGCACGACTTAGAATTTCTGAGTAGGCATTTGACAAGCCTTGAAATAATGTCTGGACAACCGAAATCAACGGCTTTCCCAGTTCTGAATATTGTAGCCGGCTAGGTGGTTGCCGTTGCCGGGAAGAACGGCGGAGGGATGATTCAACCTCTGATGGTTCAAGGGGTGCAATAGGACTGACAGAACCCAATGATGACTCAGATTGATCTGGCATGGAATCTTCAGCCTCAAGCTCATCGGACACCTTGGCATCAGGTAAGGCTTCAATAGGAACATTGATATTTATATCTTCCTCCTCATGTTGTTCTATAGGTAGGTAAACTTCTGCATCTTCTGCCAGTTGAGGTACTTCTCCAGTTGTACCCAACTCGTCACTGGATGCTGATGGAACTTCTACCTCAGATAGCAGCAAAGACTCTTCAAACTCAGGTAAGTGACTCTCACATGGCATTATTGCAGGGGGAACAATAGCTTGTACTGGTGATGAGGAAAGGTCAGTATTAACTGTGTTGCTTGCAGCTGCAGCATTGTCACAAGAATCAGGTTTGTGTTGACTGAATCTTTCCACAGTGAATTTGATCGGAGGCTGGATAGGAATAGGACAATCTGACGTTACAGAATCAGTCTCCTCTTCTTCCAGGTCAACTGCAAAATCAGGGTGACTTTGACACTGGCAACGAGTTTCCGGCCTGCGAATTGGAGTAGTAACAGGATGATCTTCAATTGTACTGGCGGGTAGGAAACCACAGGGAAGCAGCAGATCTCGATGCAGAGTGCGAGTTGGTCCTTCTGTGTCTTCAGGTTTCACAGTGTAAACAGGTAGTTCACCTGCTCGCTTAATGACCACATAAACTCTTTGCTCCCATTTGTCCTCCAACTTGTGCTTCCCTCGCAGACGGACATTGCGGACAAGCACCCGGTCTCCAACCTCAAGACAGGCGGGTGTTACACGCTGATCAAAACGGCTCTTATTTTTCTCACCTGATTTGAGTGCATTTTCAGAAGCTAGTTTGTAGCTCTCTTCAAGCCGTGAACGGAGGTTCTTAACATACTCTGAATGTGAGGGCAATGAAGCCTCTCGAATCGGCAAACCAAAAGCCAAGTCAACAGGGAGTCGTGGAGATCGTCCAAACATCAGCTCATATGGTGTGAAACCTGTTACTTCATTCTTTGTACAGTTGCATGCATGTACCAGAGGTTTCACAAACTCTCGCCATTTAGATTTCTGTTTGGTTTCAAGTGTCCCCAGCATATTCAACAGAGTGCGGTTGAAACGCTCGACCGGGTTTCCCCGTGGGTGGTACGGAGTGGTCCGAGTCTTTTTTATACCGGCAACCTCACAGAGCTCTTTGATTAGCTTCGACTCAAAATCTGGTCCTTGGTCAGAGTGCAGCCGTTCTGGTATACCATAGTACACCATGAAATCATTCCAGAGACACTTTGCTACAGTTTTAGCCTTCTGATTAGGGGTAGGAATAGCTACAGAAAACTTTGTGAAGTGGTCAGTAAGGACTAGAATATCCTTGGTATTACTACTGTCTGGTTCGAGTGACAAAAAATCCATACAGAGTAATTCAAGTGGTCGACTGGTTCGGATGTTTACCAAGGGAGCAGCCTTTTCTGCCAGTGCCTTCCGTCTCACACATCGGCCACATGTTTTGATGGTACGCTCGACGTCTGCCGCCATCTTTGGCCAGAAGAAGTGCTGCCTCACAAGATCAAGGGTACGTTCTATGCCCATGTGCCCCATGTCATTATGGAGAGCCTTCAAAACCATTGGTCGCAGGTTGGGTGGAAGGATTAACTGGAGGTTGAGTATGTCATTCTCTCGCCTCCCCCTATACAGGACACCATCCTGAAGCTTTAATCGATTCCACTCCCTCAACAGCAGTGGAAGCTCTGGTAATTTTTCTCGAGCAGTCTGGGGAACTTTCTCACCAGTCTCCAGTTGATAAATGACCTCACGGAGGGCAGGGTCAGCTCGTTGTTCCTCTAAGAGGTCTTCATGCAACAGTGATGGAATGACAGGTAGGCCATGGGAATCATCCGTGGTGTAACTGGATGGGATAGCGTTGGTGCTGAGCGCCAGGGATTCAACCAGGACAATGTTGGCAGAAACGGAGTCTGACGGATGGTAGCTTCTAACCAGGCAGCTCTGGCAAATGGCTTCAACAATCTCAGGGGAAACTTCTTCAGCTTCACCTGGTTTACATAATTGCTTTGTCAGGTGATGTACAAGTTCCCCATCTTTGTATGAGTGATCTAGGGATTCTCCATGGGAACGCCTTGACAGAGCATCTGCATCATGGTTATGACGGCCAGCCCGGTACTGGATCTTGAATGAAAAGGTTGAGAGAGCAGCTAACCACCGATAGCTTGTGGCATCAAGCTTTGCAGAGGTCAGAACATATGTAAGAGGGTTGCTGTCTGTTACAACTGTGAAATTGGCTCCATACAGATAGTCATGGAACTTCTCAGTCACACTCCACTTAAGAGCCAAAAATTCAAGCTTGTGAGCTGGGTATCGTGACTCACTCGGACTCAGGTTGCGGCTGGCATAAGCAATAACGCGGAGCTGGCCTTCTTGTTCCTGATACAGGACTGCTCCAAGCCCTATGGTACTTGCATCGGTGTGCAGGATATATGGCACCTTGGGGTCTGCAAATCCAAGCACTGGAGCAGAGGTTAGTTTGGCAATGACAGAGGTAAAAGCAGTTTGGCAATCTTTGGTCCATCTGTCTCCAAAAGATTGTTTCGGATCAAGGTAACTGCTAGAAGGATTCTTCTTTGTGGTGGAGCGCCGAACTGGAGCATAACCACGGGTAAGTGTATTCAGAGGTTTGACAATGCTGGCATAATCTTTAATAAACCGTCTGTAGTACCCAGCAAAACCCAGGAATGATCTCAGCTCTTTTAGATTACGTGGAACTGGCCAGGATTTTAACGATGAGATCTTTTCTGGGTCAGTTTCAACACCCTTCTCAGACACAATATGTCCTAAATATCGCACACTCGACTGAAAAAATTTGCATTTTTCAGGGGATTGCTTCAACCCAAACTCTTTTAACCTGGACAGCACTCTGAGCAGTCGTTTCTCATGCTCATCCAAGGTGGATGAGAAAATGATTATGTCATCCAGAAACACAAGGACTTCTTTGAGATGCAAGTCTCCCATACACTTCTCCATAAGCTGCTGAAAGGTACTTGGGGCATTTGTGATACCCTGTGGCATTCTGTTCCACTCCTAGAACCCCAGTGGCGTAACAAAAGCAGTTTTTGCCTTGTCTGCCTCATCCATCTCAATTTGGTAATACCCCGACTTCAAATCAAGGACAGAAAACCATTTAGATCCAGTCAGGGCTGAGAAAGACTCCTCCAAGTTTGGGAGTGCATAAGCATCTTTCACAGTTTGCAGATTTAATTTTCTATAGTCAATACACAACCGGACAGCACCATTGCGTTTTCGGACCACCACGATTGGAGATGAGAAAGGTGACTCAGACTCTCTTATTACTCCGGCTTCAAGGAGGTCACGCAGGTGACATCGGACTGCCTCCAGGTCATTGGGGTGTATTGGTCTTGCTCTGTACTTGAAGGGGGTTTCATCACTGAGCTTGATGGAATGTTTAACTCGGTCAGTACAGCCAAAGTCCATGTCATGGTGGGAAAAGACTTCAGGCAGTTCATTAAGCTTGGCTGTTATCCGGTTCCTCCATTCAAGTGGAATGGGTGAATCACCAAAATTGTACTCCAGTGTTGATTTCCTATTCTCTGCTTTAGTATCAATAGCATGCTGAGTCAAGATGGTAGGTTTTGTTCCAATGTCTGCAATGACTGTCCTTGGTGGAATCAATACATCTTGTTCAGACTCGTTCTTCATAATGACAGGAACTGTATATGGGGAACTATTTGGAAGAGTAACCAAGCAGTTTTGAATGCAAAGACCTCCAGGGAGAGGTGAAACAGGATGTTCAATGATGCCCCATTGGTCTGTGGTCAGATGGTGGATTTTTGCAGAGCCCTCTAGAACAATGGTGTGGCCTGCAGGAATGAGAACTGGGTTCTTGTTCATCAGTCTCACAACACCGGCACTGCCCCTCTGATTCTGCTGATGTTTTAATTTT